CTGACCCCATCAGTGCCGACCCAACTCCACCACCACACGCACGCCTCGCGGCGGATGCGCAGCAGCAAGAAGGTTTCGGTCATCCCTTGAGGGTCTAGCCCTGCTCGCCAGAAAGACCCCCCCCTTCACTACAACCCATGTCTAAGCAAAAGCTTGTCGAGGAGCGAGGGGAAGAAGGGAGTACGCAGAGTGCCCGCCTATTATACTGATTAAAAACTACATCACTCAGTTTGTTTGTGCAGGTAGTTCTGCGCCCAGGCAGCAGCGTGGCTCTTCATACGTTACACACACCTGGACACAGGTCCAATAGAGGCGAATGTAAGCTCGGTTTCTCTTGAGTTGAAGGGCGGACGAACAACACCAATAAACATGTTTTTTTGAGCTCTTTGCTCCACGCCCAAGGCGACCTTTGCTCCTCTCGAAAAAGCGAGCGTCAGCCCTCTACCTTGGGTTTACAGCTATACCACACAACAAACCGCATCCGAATCGCATCAGGCAACCACGAGATCTACATGTCTGAAAACGGCCCCTCCAGTGGGGCTGCAACACCCACACCAGCAGTCCCTCCCAAAAAAAAAATCGAGGTCCGCGCCGTTCGGCAGCAGGAGGCACTCTGCGCGAAAGCTGAATCAAAACAAACGAAGTTTGAAGAGAGGACGGGGCAGTGTATGGTTGCCGCGTCAGCAGAAGATAACACGCGGCGTGCTATCGAACGCGGCAGCCTCACCGTTGTGGAGAGAACGCTGGAGGAAACGAAGGAGGAGTTGGTCACAAGTAAGAAAATTGTGGAAGAGAGCCAGGCTCAACCTCGCTGCCGCCGCCNGCAACCACGAGATCTACATGTCTGAAAACGGCCCCTCCAGTGGGGCTGCAACACCCACACCAGCAGTCCCTCCCAAAAAAAAAATCGAGGTCCGCGCCGTTCGGCAGCAGGAGGCACTCTGCGCGAAAGCTGAATCAAAACAAACGAAGTTTGAAGAGAGGACGGGGCAGTGTATGGTTGCCGCGTCAGCAGAAGATAACACGCGGCGTGCTATCGAACGCGGCAGCCTCACCGTTGTGGAGAGAACGCTGGAGGAAACGAAGGAGGAGTTGGTCACAAGTAAGAAAATTGTGGAAGAGAGCCAGGCTCAACCTCGCTGCCGCCGCCGCCGCCGCCGCCGCTGCTGCTGCTGCTGCTGTTTCTTTCAGCAGCAGCAGCGGCGGCGGCAGGTGTCTGCGTGGCTTCACCGCCCGGCTGCTGCTCGGTTGTGTCATGAGGCATGTGTTCTAGAGTGGGACCGCGCAAAGGTGTTGTGTTGTGTCCAACAGCAGGGCACATCAGAGCACACACACGAGCGGCGCCCTCGCGCGTGCGCGTCAGGTGTTTTTAGGTAGCTTTTGGACCGTTCCGTGCAATTTTACTGGTCAGTCGATTTTCCATCAGGAAGATCCGAGGTCACTTTTTCAATTTTTTCCTACAGGAAAATTGATGCTTTGACACCCCTAACAGTACTGCTACAGTTCCAGTCTACTGTATCCCGGTCGCCCCGGTAGTCTAGTGGTATCCTCGCAATCCGCTAGTCGCAGAGGTCGTGAGTTCGAATGCCCATGGGGTGAAAAATTTACGAAACTTGCGGGTGAACGCGAAATATAGCTAACAAAAGCTCTCGTGAGTACCAAACTTCGACGTTAGCACCGTTGACGAGGNCCTACAGGAAAATTGATGCTTTGACACCCCTAACAGTACTGCTACAGTTCCAGTCTACTGTATCCCGGTCGCCCCGGTAGTCTAGTGGTATCCTCGCAATCCGCTAGTCGCAGAGGTCGTGAGTTCGAATGCCCATGGGGTGAAAAATTTACGAAACTTGCGGGTGAACGCGAAATATAGCTAACAAAAGCTCTCGTGAGTACCAAACTTCGACGTTAGCACCGTTGACGAGGGAAAGGGACGGCTGGACCCTTCTCGGGATAAAAATAAAATTCAGCACACACCGCAGGAGGAAGGTGGGGCATGAAAAGAAATAAAAAGAAGAAAAAAAGCCCTGGTGTTTACCCCCTCCTGTTTGACCCTGGATGGTTGTAGTTGTACGAAAAAATACACTGACAAGTGTAGTACTCTACATACGTTGAAAAGTGTAGCACACGTCTCACCATGAAAAATGGGGGGACTGTCGCCATAATAAATAGGACGAAAACACAAAACACACACACAGTCCAGATCTGAGAATCATCTCCGCGCCGTTTCTCGTCCCATGCAATATTCCAATCAAAGGCAACGGCTCATGGAAGTGTCCGCGGGCAAGCGAGCGCTCGTTGCAGCCCAGGAGGGAGCTATCTTGTTTCGGTTTATCGAAGTGCTTGATGCCTCGTTGGCGGTGCAAGTGGTGGCGACCAAAGGGTTGCATGGGCGCTGCGTCGTTGGACAGCACCTGGGGAGCCATTCAGTAGGGACTGAAGCTTCGACGACCGACTCCGGTGCTCCTGCTATTACTGCGCTAGAGAAGAAGGGCGTGGGTGGCAAGGGTGATTCCGTCGCGAACCTGTACGCCGAAATAGACTGCTGTAGTGAGCTTCTGAAGGCAGCAGCCTGCCTCATGCCGTTTACCAGGTGAGTGTAGGGAACAACTCTCCAACGTAGGTATGCTACCTGTGGAGATTCTGCACGTGTACCTGCTGCTTCTTTTGACCCTAACGTACAGCACGTACAGGTTGAACTGGTCGTTTTCGCGCACGTGAGGAAAATGGTAGCGCAATAGGTTCAACATGACTTACCACGGTCTTCAGCTGTGCCTGGCCGGGTCAGATAGTTCCTAGAACAATGTATGCCGTGGTTTGGAGGTACTATTGTTTCGCGTGTCCGTCGATGATGTTTATTGTATTTTGTGTCTTGTGAGGTTCGTTATTCTTTCCGGGCGCACCTACTAGAATCCGCACTGCACCGTCCAACAGAGGGGGTAGCCTTGGGTGGTCACAGCCAAACTACCCAAGAGAACAAATGCTACGAAATGGCATTGCGAAAGTAGAGGGACACACCAAGATCAACACAAGAGATTCGAACGCATGCTGAGGGTGTTCACAAGTAAACGCATGCTGAGCGTGTTCAAGAGTATATCACCACGCAGCAGCCGAGAGCACCTCACCAACCCAACTGTCCTCTCGTTTGGTCGCCTTCGTCCAAAGGGGGTGGCACGCGAACCAGCTTTATCGGGGAAGATCTACCTTGCGCCGCATGTGCCAGTCGTGCCTGCTGTTGCTGTCCACACCCGCCCTTCACCGGGAGTGCTCTACCCATGCGTCGGCTGTGCTGGTTCACTCGGCGGTGGCGAATTGGAGATCAAGCACGGGATGGCCATCGGACGACTTTTGCCCTCCGGTGGGCACCGCAGCCCCAGCGGCAGCACCGTCTGTACCAACCACGGCAGAAACTACAGCTACAGCAGTAGAATTACCACGGCCGCCGCCACTACCACCATCAGAAACAAAACCAGCGCCAAAGTCAACGGCAATAGGAACAGCTACAGAAGCAACACCAACCACAGCAGCCGGCTCTGGTGTGTATCCAAGTGCTTCCCGCCACCAAGGAGGCGCCGCACGCACGCTGAGGCTGACACTCGCAGCAAACACTATCAACGCGTCGTTTCTGTCGGACGGGACGGAGAAAATAATCGCAGAGAGTGGTGACACGGACGAGGTGACCGCTCTCCTGGCTGGGTTCATGCCCTTGCCGGCCGGCTCAAGGCTTGCGGTCTGCCGTGCGCTGTTTCACATCTTAGACTCGAGTGTGCTTCTCGCGGTGCTCGACTCGCAAGCGCCGACGGAGGGGAACGGCATGACGGGAGGACCAGGTAGGGGAGCCGGTGCAGGGGGGCTAATGTTTGGACCCATCTTGCATGCGATACTAGTGCGAAGTGGGGCGGACAGCGGATTATCCCTGCGATTCTTCGCTTTGCAGGTGAGCACTGGGTGTTGGCTTTTCCTTTTCTTGCCGCTACTATCGATGTGCTGTTGCTGTCGACCCTGCTGTTTTCGGTTCACTGCAATGTTTTTACGGTGCACTGGATGGTGTTTGCCGTTGCGGCTGCCTTCGTCCTTTAAGTCGCCATTCTCAGCCAGGCTCAGCCCAATCTCGTATATCTCGTTTCAAGGCCACTCACTAAGCTACCGGCCATGCGCCGATAAGCGAGAAACCGTTTCATGTTTGAGTTGCGCTGTAAGTTGTCTTGATCAAGATGAACGTGGTCCAAATTCTAACTATAACTATTGTGCGTTTGTGCGTTCGATGTACGGCGGCATTCTTGATGACTTGTCCCACCTACAGCAATCATTCAACGTTTTGAGCGAAGTACGGTGAGGCCATTGCCGGTGATTTTCTTATTCTGTCATTTGTGTCGATCGATGTGATTTCAGCATCTTGCGGCTTTCCTCCAAACGCTTGGCACTTCCCTCGCCTAGTTGATCTAGCCTCTGATTTACCGACAAGTATCACGTGCTTGTTTTCGGTTTTTGACGCAGGACCAACAAGTGACCTCATCTGCCTCACAGCTGGACGCAATACCGTCCACGTCGACGTTGTTGAAGCCATAGAGCTTATTCCCGCTCTCATTATGCTCGACGTGTCTTGTTCTGCTTTAGGTTCTCGAGGCTTGGTGCAACAAGGTCAAGTCGTTTGCTGGACGTGGCCTTTCGGCGCCAGCCGGATCTTGCGACGGTTGCTCCAATAGCGGCGGCCATTCGAGTGGCCTTAGTGTGGATGGAGACGTCGTAGCGGACTCGCTGTCAAAGGTATCGGATGGGGAGTATTGGCTCTGCGCATTATGTTGGTGACAATCATTGTGTCACGTTGGATCTCCAGGGGATAGGAGTGGTGAAGGTGGACATGGCGTGACCGGTGTCCGTGGAAGAGTTTTTCCCATCTCATTTGTACGTTTGAGACGGTCGGCCGAGAGCCAAACATGTACCTCTCCTGGAGGAGGGGCACATACGTACGTACAGCAGTGTCTGTTTCATTTTGATATTGCACCGGCCAAAACCTGGAAGACTTTGGCAGTCAAGGACTGGTTATAATTCAGAATATAGGAAGTTGGATCGCCCACACAAAAATAGTTTTTCGTATCGTTCCCTCCTGGTTTCCCATAGTGGAAGTTAATCCGAAGGTTGCTCCAAACACCACCTTGTACCCCTCCTTGTGCCAACGACTTGGCTTGGTGTCCTTACGCCCTCTGCACATGCCCGTTCTGGGTAGGTACTGGAGGTCACCATGTCCGCTCTGGTGCACCCTGCAAAGCTCATTTCGTCCATGGCGCCGGTACTATTGGAGCACGTGTTTGCTATTCGACAGGTGAGGCGCGGCTGTACCTAGGTGAAATGGTTGTTGGGACTGTGTTGTATTTTACCGCTGCTGCTGCTGCTGCTGCTGCTGCTGCTGCTGCTGCTGCTGCTACGAAAACTGCTGCAACCCCTGCTGTTTGATGACATCATTGCTTTGGTTGTCGTCGTCCGCACTCTTGTTGGTGGTAATTGTCGTGGGTGCCATCAGTTTGTTTTAGTTGCTGATCCGGGCAGTAAAGAGACGGATTTACGAATAGCATCCACCGCCGACAATCATCCTGCGGAATCGAGAAACGACGAAGATGGTAGTGTCAAAAGCTGCGACGCACGGCATCCTGTGTTTTCTATGGAGTTGATGTTGGCCTCCTGACTCGGGACAAGAGGGACATTGCTTGGGCACGATCTCCGGTGATCGCACGGTCTCACCTTACTCTTCAAACGCGAATAAATAGCCCTTGTGGTTGTACACGGAGAACCTGTGTGTTGTATTCGACGTTACACTAGATGATATGGCCGTTGGATATCAATTCTTTGCACACACGCACACGTATTCGACCATTGCTTTCACTACGCCTTAGTTTGCAGTATCTACTAGCCGCTGATTTCTGACGTATGTTGGCACTTGAATGAACCGCTGCAAATATTTCAAGCTGGTACACGGCAGCGATGGTGGAGTCGGAGAAGGAGAAGACCGAAGTGAGCCGGAGAGGCTGGTGGGGCAAGTCCTGAAACAGCCAGGTAGAGGTAGAGAGAGACGGAGTGCGGGTACGTTTTTGTGCCTAGCGTGTTCTTGTGTCGTCGAATTTGAATAACGAAGACGACAACAGCAACAGCAACCTCTGCTGCTGTTGGGGCAGAGCAAGTCCGCTGCAGTTGTTTTGCGGTTGCCTACTCTCCACTCCATTCTCCATTGTTGTTCACACCCTCAACCCCCACATCCACATCCGAGTTCGACACCCGTGTTCGAACCTCCATCGTGGCTGCTTGCTACGGTTGTTTCCGTCTCTGGCTTGAGTTTTTCTTGGTTTTGATCACATTTTGCCACTTTTCCTGCTTTTTGCGTTTCAAGTCATGGTGGACGTTGGGCTCGTGTCCACTCGGTTTGTTTTTCCGTCGTGTCCGGTACATCGCCTGTTGTCATGTTTGCTGTAAACGGCCTGCGTTTGAACCCTCGGGTCCTTATGGCAAAATGTGCGTGGTTGGTGGGTATCTTCCTCGGCGCACGAGGTGCTCGAAAGTAATCTCTCTTATCAATTGAGATCATGCCATGCACACTCTCCGCCTCCCCCCTCCTCCCCTCCCCGGGGGAGGCCGAGGCCCGCAAGTGCAGTTAACCCTCGAAAAAACCACCCAACAACGACGGATATACGGTCCCTAGCACCGTGTAGGAGAGGATCCTGAGTTTGGCGGTCGGGAGTTACCGCGGTCACGAGATCGAGGTAGGTCGTGATAAGCCAACTTGGAGACAGCTGCCGATGGGTTTGAACCCAAATGCCCCGGTTTGGACACCGGGGCAAGGCAGCGGTGGAGAGCACGGAGAGGGTGGCGGGATGATCGCACACCGTGTGGGTAAGCACCCAACAGGGGGACGGAAAGGGTCCAGAGCTGGAGAGCCACGCCGCTCCGGGACAGGAAGACACCTCGCTGGGAAAGGCAAGCACCGGGTTAACTCTTACATTAACCCGAGGATCCGCAGAGCAATAAAAATAAAGAAAATAAAAAAAGGAAGGAAGAAGAGGAGGAGGGGCCGGAAGGTGCGTAGGCTGATTAGGGATGCAGCACGCACCGCCCGGCAGAGGCGGCAGGGTCGACTTGTTAGGGTAGCAACCTACAATGTGCGTACACTGGCCGTGAACGGGGCCAACGGCTATGGGAGAGCCGACAGCGTCTTACACGAGGCAGCGAAACAGGGCATTTCGTTTGTCGGTCTGCAGGAGGTCAGGAGACCAGGGCGAACGGAGTTCGCAGCATCCGGTTTTCGGGTGTTCACCTGTGGCACGGACAAGGGTGGTACGCATGGCGTCGGAATCGCTGTGGAGGAGACGCTGTGCAAATCCTCCCAGTACACCACGGAGTACGTGGACGAGCGCCTCATGGCTATGAGGTTTGAGATGATGGGCCACCGCGGAGCGGTGACCTTCGTGGCTGCGTATGCCCCAACAGACGTGGCCACCACCGAGAGCAAACACATGTTCTGGGAAAAACTTGACAGTCTCGTGCGTCGTACCCCCGCTAAGGAGTATCTTTTCGTGCTCATGGATGCCAATGCCCAGACCGGAGGAGGGATAGCAGGGGAAAACGAAGGAACCATGGGCGAGTACGGGCGCAATGAGCTGAACGAAAATGGTGAGCTGCTGCTGACTTTCGCCACGGACAACAGATTAGCGGTCCTCAACACCTTCTTCGACACACGGAGGGGCGGGATATGGCATACGTTCAACGGCCCGTCGGGACGCGAACGTAGGTGCCTCGATTACATCCTGACGCGCCAAGCACACCGCGACCGAGTGTCCAACATGGAGGTCGTACCTCAGCCAGTGCGCCCAGTCAGAGCGGACTCAGACCACAACATCGTAGTAGCCACCGTCGACCTCGGTGGCCGGCTGGCCCACAACCGACCTATCCGGACCAACCCCAAACGGCGGCAGTTCAACCGACAAGATCTGCAGGTCGAGGCAGCGCGATGGGCTGTATCCCAACGGTTTCTCTGCAACCTGCTCGCGAGGTCGGGCGCGCCGGCGACCACCACGCAGGAAATGGCGAAGGAGTTCACGGAGGCCCTGCTCGGCGCGGCGGAGACGGAGCTGTCTGAGGAACCCCGGAGGCGGCGCACCACGGAATGGAACATGACCACCGCGGCACGGACAGCCCTGGCGACCGCCCTTGACAAGCGACGGGCTGCGCGACATTCCTTCAAGGCCGGACCGAACGCAGCAACGTGGAGGATCCTCAAAGCAACGTGCAAGGGGGTGAAGGCAACAATCGCAACGAGCATCTACGACCACCTGGAAAGATACGTGACGGAGCTCGAAGCGATCTACCAGGACCGCGACATGCGGGGGCTGTACCAACACCTCAAGCGGTCAACGGGCCTCAGCGGGAGACAAGCTGGGGGGCAGCAGTTCGTTACAGACGAGAACGGCGTGCTACTCCGGAACAAGGATGCCATCCTCAAGCGGTGGCGGAGATTCTTCAATACCCTCCTGAACTCCAAGTCCCCCACTCTGAACCCAGACGTTGTCGAACAGGTGATGCAGCGACCAGCGACGCGCGCCACCCGACACCTGGCGGCGGTACCAGACCTCGAGGAGGTTGAGGCGGCGACGAAAGGCCTGGGGAACTGGAAGGCGGTTGGTCCCGACCTCCTTGCCGCCGAACTGCTCAAGGTCGACGGCGACGACGAGCCAGTTGTACTGGAGCGCCTCCGTGCCATCTTCGTCGAAGTGTGGAATGGGGGAGAGATGCCGCAGGAGTGGAAGGATGCCATCATTAAGGTGCTGTACAAGAAGGGTGACCGTTCGAACTGCAACAACTACAGGGGCATCTCGCTGCTCTCGCATGTAGGCAAAGTACTCGCCAAGACCATCACCAACCGCCTCAGCGCATTCTGCGAAGCCAACGAAATCCTCCCGGAGGAACAGTGCGGGTTCCGGCCTGGCCGATCCACGGTATGCATGCTGTTCGTTGTGCGCCGACTCCAGGAGCTGGGGCGGAGGAGGAGAATCCCGCTCTACATGTGCTTCATCGATCTGCAGAAGGCATATGACTCGGTGGACCGGGAGCTACTGTGGAAGGTGCTGGCCCGGGCCGGGATCCCCGGGGAGATGATCGCCGTCATCCGCAAGTTCCACGTCGGAATGCGGGCCCGGGTCCGCACGGACGATGGGGAGCTATCGGACTGGTTCCCGGTCACGCAGGGATTACGACAAGGGTGCTCAATGTCCCCACTGCTGTTCAACGTCTTCTTCGCAGCGCCTCTCGAGATCATTGTCACACGGTTCAGCCAAGATGAGGTTATCGTGCGGGACCTAGTGTACTTGAAGGAGGAGGAACGGAGGGGGGGGGGATTGCTGGACCGAGTCCGGAGGGCGGTGTGGGGGATGCTATATGCCGACGATGCCGGCGTTGTGTCGAAGTCCGCCGACGGCCTGGCGAGGATGATGACCATTATCGTGGAGGTGTTCCGGGAGTTCGGGCTGACGGTGTCGGAGAGGAAGACGGAGACCCTGGTGATGCGGGTGAAGGAGAGACAGCGACCGCCGCCGCCGCCACCGCCGGTGCTGACCATCGAAGCAGCGGGGCAAAGGTACGCACAGACGACCGAGTTCCGATACCTGGGCGGCCTCGTCAACGAGCAGGGCGACCTTACCCGAGAGATCAACCACAGGAGCAAAGCAGCGTGGGCGTGCATTAAGCGATACGCCACGGAGCTCTTCGACCGACCGGGAGCACCGTTTCGCCTCAAAGCCCGCCTGCTCCAGGCGGAGGCAGTGGAGGCACTGCTATACGGCTGCATGACATGGTCCCCACGCCGCAACCACTACGGAATGCTGCAGACGACACACCACCGGCTACTCCTGCGAGTCATCGGCTACCGGCGCAAACGAGGCACCTACCGGCAGCTGTCATACGCCCAGGCGCTAAAGAGGGTCGGCTGCCAGAGCGTGGAGGCCACTGTCCGTCAACGGCGCCTGCTCTTTGCGGGGGCCGTGGCAAGACAGCCGGACGGGCGGCTTCCGAAACGGCTGATGTTCGGCGAGTTGGTGGGAGGGGAGGACCCGGGCCAGGGAAACCCGGAGCAGAACTGGCTGACATGCCTGAAGGACGACATGAAGATGTTCGAAGCCAGGTACGGCTCCACGACCGACAAGCCGAGCGTCTTCGGAGTCCCGAAGTTAGTCTGGAGTGAGGCGGCGAAGGTGGAGGGGGGGGTACCGTGGCACGCGGGGGTGCTACAGGGAGCTGAGAGGTTCATGGCCTCTTGGCACAAGGGCAAGGAGGAGGCCAGCCGACAACGAGCCATCAAACGAGGAGACAGCCGGCCCAAAAATAGTCTAGATACGGCACCAATCAACGGGGCGGTAGGGGGGCGGAAGGAAACGGCGCGGCGGGAAGAAAGCAAGCGAGAAGAGACCGACCGCGTGACGTGACATGTTGCGGTCGAATTTCAACGACTAATTTTTCTGTTGCCCTCTCCCCCGTTTGCTGTCGCGTTCAGACTGTCTCTAGGGATATCCCTGTCTCTGTGCGAGTTTGTTTGTGTCCTCGTCTTTGCTTTATTCTGTTTTATTTTGTCTTTTGTTTTGTTTTTTACTGGCACGTACCCCCGCCCCTTCCTTTGGCCGTCGACCTGCCTCCATGTAGTGGGAGGCTACCCCCCCAGGCTGGTGGTGCGGCCGTTCCACTAGTCTAATTATTTATTTTATTTTATTTTATTTGTTTCTGATTATATTTTGTTTTCTTGTATTTTATCGCTCTGCTGACCCTTGGGGTCCATTTTATTTTGGTATACCTTTTCTAGGTACGTTAGCCTGTGACCACGGAAATTGGCCGAGTCAAGTGATGGATTAGTACGGAGAGATTGAGACAGAAGGAGGTACTGGATAGAGAGACCGGGATGGTTTTTAATGTGAAGACAACAACAACAACAACAACAACAACAACATGCACGTGTCCCCACCGCCCTTCGGCTGCCGTGACTATTCGTTGGTTGGCCCTGACGCCTTCCATGTCTGTCATTGTGTATGGCAGCGACAGCGAAGAGGAATTGCCCAAGAGGCTTCGTGGGTGCTTAAATCTGTATGCTGTTGGCGTGTCACAAGTTGTGTGCTTGATTCCTGCGTATCAATATTTTGGCGTTGTTATCAGTGCTTTGAGGGGCATCGAAAGCTAAATTTCGATGCCTTTTTTTTTTTTTTGGTTTTTTGGATTCCGAGAAATCGCTGCATTTCGCATCAAAACGAACCTGATACCAATCCATCGCAAGTACCATTTTATCTTTCATGAGGGTTCGTTCGTGCCTTCTCCGTGCTGTTGTGGTTTCTTCGAAGTGGCACAATTTTCGTTTTTTTTTGTCGTACTCCAACCGAACCCAGCCGGTATGGCTTTGCCTCTCTCCACCCGAACCGCTCCGACCCTTTTCTGACGATCACAAAGATGTATGGCTCTGCCGTGCATATGTTGGTTCCTGCTTCAACGCGTCGCTCTTTGTTGGCTGTTGTTTTTCGCTGTGCATGTTTGCAGCTGTATCCAAGGGCAAATACGTGGCGCTGTCGGTCCTCTTACCCAGGGTCGGCGCTCTCCGAATGCTGGAGCTGTGTTCCTCTCTCGTGGAGCAGCTCGTATGGGCGGTTGGTTTCAGAGGAAACACTTCCGGGCAGGCGGTTTCTGTCCTTCTCCAATTTCTCAAGGCCGTGTCCGAGGAGGTGGGTGAGGCTGCGCCAGGTCTTGTGGTCAAAAACTCGATGTCCGACCCTCCACGTTGTCTTATCATGCGGTACCTATCTGTGATAGTTGACCTCCTCGCAATAGCTGTCCCACCTCCGACTTGCGGTCTGCGAATCATGAAGTGGTTTCTCGTTAAAAACGTTTGGGTTTTTGTGTGTCCTGGTCCCTTCTACTCATTCTGGACGCCTTATCAACACACCTTCCGGTATATGCTCTGCCGCACCATCTGGCGTCACCTTGAAGCAAAGCATGGTGTTCTTCGTCGTCTTGTTTTGAGCTCTGTTGTTACTCTTGTCGCGAGCGGCAACGACAATTGAAGCTTCAGTTTGAGATATTTTCACGACGAAGGAAAAGCAGGGATGGTGACGTGACCGTTTCCCAACAAGAGCAATGCTGTGTTCGACACTGGAGCACGAACAGGAAGACAGCATCTACTGTTAATAGTAGAGGGTGTGGTGAGTGAAAGGTAGTTTTTGCCCGCTCCGACGGAGGTCTCACACCGAGAGCGCACCAGAACAGTAGCAGCACCCACCACATCACTCAAGTTATTCATTTTTAGCACTTCGTCGAACCACGAACGCACGGACCATGGTATCAGACCTTCCTATTCCTTTGGTCCTCCTGATCCACGTTGTGTGACAACATCAATGCACCGACGTCCCTCTCCGCCGCAGTCGTCGGCCCCTGAAGCTGTCGTAGCAGGCGCGGCAGCATCTCCGCTGGCAGAAAGGAGTGGCACCGCAACATTAGCACAAGCAGCATCACCAGTAGCGAAATTAGGGGCGGCAGCATCTCGCCGGAGTGCAATAGCAGCATGCAGGGGTTACTGGGTGGGCCCCGCTGCCGCGGCTCTGATGCAGGAAGACTTGTGGTCGCGCAGTCACGTCGCAGCGTACCTGCTACCAGAGGTGTGGTGCGCGAGAATCGCAGTGTAAGGTTGTTTTGGAAGCCGCTTCTTGCTTCTTTTGTTTGTGCCGATATGGGCCATAACAGTGCAGGGTTGTACAAGTGCTGAGAAGAGGCGGAGAACCAGCTACTGCCACCGATATGCCAAGACCAACTAAAGACACACCAAGGGTGTGCTCTTGTTACCCTTCTGCTCGTGTGTTTGTCCGTCGTCCACCGCATCCCATCTGTGAAGAACCGGCGCTGCGCCCTCATCGCAGCCATGCCCGCTTGTGACAGCTTGGTCCTTGCCTTTTCCCAGCGTCTTCAAGTCGACAACCGTGCTCATCCCCACGTGCCTGATACGTCCTCCGACAACCCCTACACCAAAAGCAACAATTTGGCCGGTTTGGCAAAACCCTCGCTAGCCGTGAAAGATTGAGCTCGAGATGGAATTCCCATCCATTGCCTCGCTGTCGTGGGGAGTGGGTGAGGGTACTGTTGTGGCACGTGTCATGTCAGCTTCTACCAGTGTGCGCGGCCTTAACAAGACGTGTCAAGCGAGTTGAATCATCGTAAATACGGCAGTGGACGGCCTGCAACTCGTGAGGTCAGCAACTGCATGTCTTTGTGATGTTAACGCTTTGTCGTGTGAACGTCTCGCCTACCCCGGTTCCACTTAGGTGTTCAAGCTTGATCCGAGGAGCGTTTCAGACCTCTGTTTGGAACTCCGTTCACGGGTCTCTTTTGGCACTGGAGACGAAGAAACGAGCGGAACGCCTTGTTTTTTCGGACACCCGCGTGAAGCGGTGATGGAGCCGGATGTGCGCCGTGTATGGGCCTTGATGGAAGTAAGTGGTAGTGTCGTTGTTGTGGTTGTTTTGGTTGGGAGTGGTCCTTGGTGGTGACGTTGGTGCTGCTGCGCTGAGGGTGGGCGGTTGCAAACGTGGGTTGGCAATGATTACCTTGATATATCCAAGTTTTCGAGGTCGCCATCAATGCTGTAGTTAGTCGATCATGACCTGGGAATCGCTGGGTGTTGATTGAGTTGCATTAATTTTGTTTTTGGGCTGATGCTTCGGCTGCTGGTTTCAAGGATGGCGGTGGTCTCGAAGTGCAGCAGTACTTCTCAAGCTGCTGAGAGTGCGTGGTGGAAATTGTGGTACTTGAGTAAGGCACCTTTGTACCCCCCCAGCCGCCTGTCGAAGACGGTCGCGGAATTCCAGTTGTACGAAGAGGAGAGGGAAGTGTACATGACTGAGCTGGACAAAATTGAAGGGAGGTACAGGGAGATGTTTGGGGCATGGAATAGAGAGGAGAAGACGGTAGCTGTACTGGGGAGTGATATCGTTAGGAAAGATAGACTAGGGAAGACCTTTTCGAACCACCTTTGGCAAAGTAGGAAGGAACGATTGGCCATCGGTGACCGTTCCTGTGGGAACAATGCTCCGTCCTCTCGAGGACGCGTGTTCAATGGTCTAACCGCTCAGGCATGCAATACATCAGAGTATGCCCCCCTCAGCCGCCTGCCGGCCAGCCCGCAAAGGTGTGCAGACTTCTCCTCGTGAACATTCAGTTTAGGGGCCCGCAGTGGAGAAACATCGATTTTGTGATGAGACTCAGTTCCCTATGTTGTCGACGTCATTGAGCATAGGCTACAACCTACAGTAGGGCGTTCTGTATGATCCATGGTTAAGGTGTGTTTCTTGGCCATGCATTTGTTGGTTTTCGGGGTATCCTGAGCCTGCCCCTGTTTCTTCACAAAATGTTTCTCAGATGCAAGCCCGGGGTGCCTGCTATGGACTGCTTTACCTTGTAGATGCTAAAGTGTTGCCCTTGCTGACGATCACGCCGTGCCGGCATCCCGACGGTGTTTGTCTCCAGGTTGCGAGATTTGCAAGAAAATGTGGTGCTCCAGCAGGCCTTTCAGTGGTCGCTGTTGATTCCGCCGCAGGTGAGAGCTTGGTGCCATATCTTGCTGTTGTTGTTCCTGTTGCTGCTGCTGCAGTTTTGTTCTTGTCATGATCGTTCTCGTTGGTGATGTATTGCGCGTAAACCAGCTGCGGCGACCATCAAGTGCCCGCATTTGCTTCAAGATACATTTACATGCAACCCGCATGAATTCGGGGTTAGGGCAGCTGCGTTTGACCTCACCCTGTGGTTAGAGGTGTTGACCGTGGTCTTTCAAAAATATGTTTGGAGGTGCCAGCGTTACCAAGAAACACGGGGAAACGCGTCGAATGACACACTTTCGCTGGTGTTGCGGATGCCACGTTCATTCAGGGATGGCATCGATGACCCCAATCCCAGATCCACGCAGTTTCGAAACGACTTCAGTCAACTCACCTCCGGCACCTGCTACACGCTTAATTGTCAAGGTCAGCAAGTCCTTATGATGTTTCCGGTACTTGTTCCTCCCGCGGTTTAGAAGTTGTCCAATCTTCCACCACCCTCCGCACCGGTTTCCGCACACGGTTGTCATGGTGGCGCTGGCCATGGGATTTTCTTCAAGTTGGATGCCGTGACATGTTCTGTCGCGTGTGTGTTAAGCGCGAAACGTGTGCGCCAGAAAATAGCACTCTATCACTTATCAATACACAACCGTAGATTCTCACGGGAAGAAGGTCGAACTGTCGCATTATTTTCTTTGTTGTTATGTGCGCGATGTTGGCCTTTAGGCCTGCTGCAGCTGGAAGAAGTCAAATGGGCTGCCCTGCATGCAGACGAGACTCTTCGGATGTCAGCACTGTCGCTGCTGTGCGCGGATCTGCGAGTTACGACCGTCCCGGCTCGAGCCGAAACGCGCCTTCTTCAAGAGGTGATCAATGGGACTGGCTAGATTTTGTTGTTGGGTGGTGTTGGGGCAGGTTCTCATTGGATGACAGAAATTAAGGGCCACACTACCCGAGGTAACATCGCTTACGTTCTGCGCTGATTGGATGATGACATGTCAGATCCTGTCGAGGCGTAGTTCGTTTGGACTCTTGTTTGCGACGGTGTGGGTCAACTGATTTGCTGTTTTTGTGAAAAAAAGGCCTGAGCCCCAGTTTGCTCTAGGTTTCCGGGTGGTGCGAGTATGTCGATTGGCCAGGTGCGTCGGAGCGAGCCACGGCCGACCCGCAACGCAACGCTTGGTGTGAGAGTCAACGAATATGACTGGCTCCATGGATGCTTGACGAAAAACCCGTGGTTCGCTTCGTAGTATTATGTACGGCATGCGTGAGTTTGGAGATCACATTGGAAATTGCGCCGGGCCGCACACCAGCAGTTTTCCGAGATTTGGTGATTCCATTCCGTCCGTTGATCGCCAAGCTCCTGGCGCGGAATGCCTTTCGGTTGAGTTTTTTGTCGAAGAACTCGATTTTCTCCCCTAAACTTCCCGTGTCGGATGCGCTTGTTCTTATGCGTTGCCCTTGCGCCATACTTTCTGGTCTGACCGTTGGTCTCTGGTTGCGGTAGGTCATATTGTAAGCGTGTCTGCTACGAGGTTAATTCACGCCGACCGTTGTCAAGAACCTGAGGGAAAAACCACAGCAGTAGCACGGAACAGTCTTCGGTCAAGTATGTACCTGTGTCGCAAACGCCAGCATGGCGTGAGAATCATGGCCGCATCTCGCCCCTTGTCGCGTCCCCCACCGTAGGGGAACAGCACATAGAAAAACTACCCCCGTTCCAGCGTTGTGGTTTCAGCACAGAAAACCTCCGACGTTCCCCCCACTGCTGTGGTGATGAACACGAGTATCCCGTTCTCAAAGTGTGATATTGTTTATTCACCGTCCATGTTCCGTGCGGTTGCGCGCAGGTGCTGCCTTATAGCCTGAAGGTCTTCGGGGCTCAGAACAGGCAACTATTGCTCAGGGCAATGCAGGTATCTACCCTGCGTCCCTGCGCAATAAACCAGTCGACGTTGACCCGTGTCCGTTGCGGTTTAACTGTCTGCGGATCTAGGTGGAAGACTTGGGTCTGCGGTCCATTGTTGGATCCACTCAAAAGGCGTTTTTTCCAATGTTCCCGATTTACCAGAAGTGGCGAGTCCTGTTTCAACATTATTCAATATAAATGAAGGCTTACAAGCGCTATGCTGCCCATGCAATGTTCAGTGTCTTGCGGCTTTTCTCGGTGGCACTGGGGATGGGGAGCCCGGCCGAATCATTTTGACACCCGCCTCATGGACCTTCGTACCTCCTTGCTTTATCGCGCTGGAGTCTACCGGATCTGGTGCCCGTTTGCCGCAACTTCCCCGTCACTCATGATGCTGTTCATGCCTTTGGCGCGCAGACCCTCCTGATACGAATGAGAGAAACCGCCAGAGTTTGTACCCGAGGCCAAATGGGCGCACCATGTCTAGCAGGCAATCACAAACGGCAGAAGAAGAAACACGGGCATCGTGACGAAGGTGAAACGCAATTGTTGCACCCTTACTGGCTTCTGTTGATGTCTTTCTGTCACTTCAGCCACCCGCGCGTCAAAGACCCCAGTGGTAGTTGAGCTTATGACAGGCAATGAAGTGCTGTTTACATGCTTTTCTTCCGAGTGTCACGACTTCCCCTTTTTCTTTGATATTTCGTCTTGTCCCTGTCAGCTTTTGACCACGTGATTCCCTTGCTTGGCCTTGAAGAGTACATTACAGGTATCGTGGTACTGCGGGGCAAAAATTGCTCGAGTGCTTTTTTGTTTAAGGAAAGATGGGCATGCGTCGAAAGCAGTGTGTTCCATGCCGGGTACCTCTACTGGACGAACGATGGTAGGAGAGGAAGTTGGATATTGGATTGCGTTTCTTACTTTTCGAGCACTTCCCGTGTACCATCGCGTGTTAAGTGTTCATTTTTCTTAGCCTTTTCTTTCTGCGTGATGTTTTTGTGTGTGCGCCTTTGTGGGGGTATGTGGTTGGCCATGACCACGAATGTCGTCCGCGCCAGTTTCCAAACCTTCTTGACTTGATCTGGACCGTACGCATGGTCCATCCTGTCGGAATAATCCGGTTCGAAGGAGTTCCTATGGTACGGTTCCTGCGTGAGGATTCAAACAGCACCCAAGAAAAATTGACAGTAGCTGAAATTGCTCACCTTTTCCTGTGACGCGTCCTACATGTGGTCACAGGTGCCGTCCAGAGTTTAAGCGGAGGTATGGAGGCAAGTGATTCCTCTGCAGAGGGAGACGGGACACTGGCAGAGACGCCCGCGGAGACCCTTACGCGCATTCATTACTTCACGCGCTGGCTTTGTCAGGTACGAAACAGTTTTCAACACATTGGCGTGGCGTGTGTCCGCTTGAAATTGGCTGCCGCTTGATTTCCCCAAATCACGTGGAAATGGAGAGTGAGAGGGCAGCAGCTCGGAGTTGAGGAGGTATGATATGCAAATGATAATTCCTGAGGTATGGCCATTGAAAGGTCTCCTGCGGTGCAGGCCAAACCTTGGACTCCCTACCTGGCGCTATACCTCTTTCAGGCGAAAGGAAAATGAATACCTCCCCCAATCTAGTATTGTGGCGGCGCGCAGAGTGTGGGTTACGTCCCGTAGCAAATTTGCAGGTTTCAGCATTCCCAAGGGTTGTCACGCTTTGTCGAACAGAACGTCGGCCACACGCCCGTGTGCGGTTTGGTGTGGGAGCCATTGTGATGCATCACGATCACGTGCCCGCAAAGATGCCGTCCTTCCCTTACTGTTGGAGGTGCATTCCATTCGTTAAATATTAAATATCCCCCACAACCTGAGGTTCACTTTTAATTGAGTCCGACCATTGTATTCATCAGTCTTCGGCCCAGTATAAACAGCATCCGCCGATTAGGCCTATGCGCGGGACGGACGAAGGGCGAGTCCTGACGACTGCACGGCCGGCAACCTCATGTATTGCAGGCCTCTCATACGCCTTGTACTCGTGTTTTGGTTGATGTGGTGATGCCATTCAAATACCAGGATATTTGTTGTTCAAGTGGAATGGTCGCGAAAAGAGTCTGCTTGTTGTTCGGTGGAAAGGTTTTGCTTATCTTAAGTTTGGAATGACATTTGTATGGCATCTGGTCAACACCAGCACATGCATCGTCGAGCATGGAAGATTATGACGTATTCTGTGGAGAGAGGCAACTTCATTCTATCGTGACACCTCTGATGTACATGTATGCGCGCATGCGTGATGTTTTTCTCTGACTAGCAGGAGGTACTCCGGAGCTTGTACCCAGGGTGCCCGTTCGAACGGGAAGTGCTGGGGCTCGAGATGGCTCAGCTCATCTTGTCAGAACTACTGCCGTCAGAAGAAATGGTTGCGTCGAACGAGTCCGAGACAGCCCTCGCAAAGGTTTGTGCCGTCTCGGTAACCTTAACCCTTATCGTAGCTCTCAGTAGCCGTTGGGTCCGACTCGTGCCGGCGTCGTGTCTCGAGTCATGACTGCTGAGAGAGTATTCGGGAGTGCGCTGATGGCATCCGTCATGTGCGTATCGAGGATAGCACATGTGCGACTTGCCACCGGTACGGCAGCAGCACACAGCGGCAGCGCGGCGGTACACAAGGAGCTGGAGAGCGGCCTGTCTGTTAGCTTTGTCGTCACGGCATTCGGGGTACAACAGCAACGAAAGGAGGAGCCCCCCTCCCCTCCTTCGTACCATGTGGATGTGCATTACGCTGCGTTCAAGACGGTCTGCACGGTAGCATCTCCGTCTCATCTTTGCCAGCATTGGCAGTAAGTTGAAGGCAAACTGATTGCAAACACGCACCCACTGCACTGCCATGCTTGCGCGTTCGAACCGGTCCCATAGGTGGCGTCCTCTTCTCTTTTCTGCCGGCACTGGGTGGACACGCTGCTTTCCTTGCTGGGAAGCAGCTGGGACCGCTCCCGCGCCCTCGCCTACTCCATCCTCGCGCGCTTCCCGCGGCCTCTTGCCGGCTACGAGGGCCTAGGCGGCGCCACTCGCCTCGCGGAACAGGGGCTGCGCTTGAGCGGCAGCGGCCGGCAGCGGGAAAGCGACCAGGGTGCCCTTATCCTTCGTTTGGTGTTCGTGTCGTATGCTCGAGGGCTACGTCTGCGGGTGCCTCTCCTGGGTACCGAGGTTGCGGGCGGGGGCGTCGTGGGTGGAGATGTTGGAGATGTGAGCGAGCTCGGTCGAGGAGATGCTGTCACAAGCGACGAGGTCGGCGTTGCAGTAGAGGGCGATGACGGCGATGCTACGGCACTCTTTCTGGAAGGTCTCTGCGGTGTCCTCTCGCACAGGTGCTTGGTTTGGTCCCGTGGCGTGTTGAGCTGGTTTGAACTTCGAAGGAGACTGTTTGGCACTCGATAGCCTCCTTGCGAAGCAATCGGTTTTCGAGTACTTGTGTTACCTCTTTGTCCTTCTGCGACGGGGGTGTGACTACGTGCCCCCCAGTTGCACAGTCGATGAAGATCCTACGTTGGATTATATTGGAACGCTCGTCTGTAGGCCTCGTATATCCAGCCCTGGCTTTTTGGCGAAGCCTCCGCTTCCCCAGCGTCGTTCGAGGGTTTCCCATCGCTATATTGTTGCGTTCGATGATCGAGTTACCGCTCCCGGAGATCAATGTTCTGCATTGCGGTATGGCTCACCTCGTATGGGATGCAGGCATATGCGTGAAACCAAGAACTAAGAGAGAAAGTTGCCTTGTCGCGGAATGGAGTACGAGATTCACTGTGTTTGGTGCTTCCAAACATGGAACAAACCGTTGTTGTACCAGGATATGACACAGCTGTACCGCCCTCCCGCATACACATTGAAGGATCAGCCAGCGGACAGTGAGTAAAAGCTTGCTCGGGCACTGTGTTTGTGGTCAGGTTGGCAATGTAGGGCCGCCGAGTACACCTCAGCAAGGTGTGACTAATCTCGGTGAAACCGCAACTCTGCTCCCATATCAGCACTCAAAGGATTGTGGTGTGCTCCGTCAAGGTACAGAGGCGGAAGCAATGCTACCATTCTCCCTCAGCTTCGAATGTTTGTGTTGTCTTTTCGAAGGTTAAGTTTACGCATGCCGGAACGATGCCCTCCTCCCAGTCTTTCTCCCTTGCTCGTTGTTGCTTTTTTGCTACGGGCGAATACCAGGCTCGACGGCATGCAGCGTTCGTTCGACGCAATCCTCGCGAACGACCCCAGCAAAACCTTGGACACCACCACCTCCGCCCTTGCAGTCCGCGCCATCCCCTCCTTGCCGCACGGGGTCCTCCTGGCGGCTCACCACGTGCTGCTCGAATCCAAGCTACGTGCTTCAGGAGCTGGACGCTCCTCCTCCTCCTCCTCCTCCTCCGCCACTGGCGAAGGTCGTAGTCGGCGGGGGGCGAAGCCGCAACGTGCAGGGGGTACGCCGGCGACCGCGGGGGTGGGAGGGGAGGGCGGTGCGGTGCAGTGGGAACGGCGGCGAAACGCGGCGGCTTTGCTGCTGGAACAGGCGTTTCGTTCGCTGCGGCTGTCTTTGCTGATGGTTGGGGAGAACGGCGGCGGTGATTGTGATGATGATGATGGCCGCGACGTCTGTGATGACATCACCGACGGCGAAAACCCCGAGGGAGCCGTGAAAACCTCACGCAAGCCCCGCTCCGCGGTGAGCGTCAACGCGAACGGGCACATGGGAATGGTGTCCCTTGACACCGGCAAGCGAACCGTGTGTACAGCACCGCTCACGGAAAGCAGCAGAAATAGCGCCCTTGGTTGTGCAGACGGCGCAGTGACAGAGGACGATGCCCACGGTATGCCGAAAGACGGTGACTGTGGCAACGACAGCAGTGCTGGCCTGGAATGGGGTGGTGAGAGTGGGCACCGGAAGACGGACGCGGCGCAGCGCTCGGCAGTGGAAAGCCAGCGCGCGGTCGTCGGGGCGTGGCTGCTGGCGAAAGAGACGTGCCGATTTTTTTCCACGCTCGTCGTGGCGTCGCCCCTTCCGTCGCAGGAGGAGGCGGGGGTCACGGGAAGTCCTGACTTGAGCGCTGGGGCGTCGGATGGGGGCAAGAGAGCGGATGTGAGGGGTTCACGATCCCTTCTAGCGGCCAAAGACGTGACTGCTATTGGAGAAACGCTGCTCGAGACCTTGTTGTCTTTGAAGCACATGGGGTGTGTGGCGTCTGCTCAGGTGAGGGGCAATAAAGCGTTTACGTTCGTACGTGCGTACAATTGTACCGCTTCACTGTTTGGGTGGGATGAGCAGGGCGCAGCTAGGTGCTGTGTGTTGAAGCTGCAGAGGTCCGTTCGCATGTGATGGCGACGATGGTAGTGACGATTAGCCGGTGCGGCAGTGCCTGGTGCGGCTTCTATCACACGGCTGATCGCTTTTACCTCAGAGAGTCCAATCTGTCGTAGCAATATGTTCTTATCGTATCCAACTTGTTTTTTGCGACGCGGTCGTCGTGTCGAACCTCGTGGGCTAATCCTTTCCAGGCTGCGTTGCAAACGGTATGTGAGGCTATGCTCCACGGAGGGCGGCGGAACGCTCCCTTGGCGCGCCTTCCATCCCTCTGGCTCGACCAATTGCTAGGCCAGCTTGCCGGAGAAAAGCAAGAGGTGGGGTTAGTGCACGACAGGATTGACCCGCGATGGACCGTGTGGATTCAACGCAGCATTGCCACCGAACCTAGCTGGTCTATGCGCATGACGAACTCCTGCGGCTCGAGCGCGTCTGGTTTTGTACGCCCCTGGAACCCCTTGTTTGTTTGTTGTGTGTGCGTGCGTGCGTGAAGCACAGATTACCGTCAACGGTTGGCCGTCCGCCAAGTCGCGGCATGCAGTCACAAGGTCGTTCGTATCTTTCGCTGCTGCGGCACCTGTTCACTTTTTCTGAATCCTCCTTTTGATCTGTTTGTGTAGATAGCCCGAAAGCCTCTCCCACGACCCAGAAGACACCCTTCCGCTCGTGTCTTTTCATCAGCTACACGATCCTTTGTGAGCCTTGTCCCTGGCCTGTACCCGATGCTTGTCTTTCCCGGCACTGTCGCATCATGGCCCTATTCGTTGTCGTTTCCTAACCCTCCTCCAGAAGTCTTCTCGCGTAGCAGCCCCGCCCCACGAACCCTGTCACTTCTATCGTCGTCTCCGGTTTGTCTTGCTTTCCGCATGTTATTGCTGGCTCCACAAGAGTTGTGCATACACCCCTCCAGAAAGCGCCTTGCCTCCCGATCCCAATCTTCAACCTCTTGTATCTGCATCTTGGGACTCCGTCCTGCCTTGGGGAACATCCGCCCTCGTTCATCTACGCACTGCTGTGTCTCCTTTTCTTTGTGCACTGCTCTCATTTCCTTTCCATCCTGCCTCCAACGCGCCGCGGGTTTTCTCTCCTCCATCTTCTGCCTATCACCTCGCACCGAAACGTACGGTCGACGGTGGCCCGGGAACAATCGGGCAGTTCGTGCTCCGCCGCAGCACCGGGTTGGCGTTCACGTTCATGGCCATTCTCAGAGCGGAACCAAGGTCTGTTGCCGATTCCGATGTTCTCTGAGTGCGGCATCGTGACCTTTTTCATGTTGCATTTTTTTTTTTATAACACTCTTGGTGGCACAGCATCTGCGTGTGTGTTGTCAGATTACCCATCACCATGTCTGGATAGTTCTTGTCACAGGTTCGTCTGTCGTCTCTGTCGTTGTTGTCGTTGGTTGCTGTTTCCGTACGGTACTATCAGTTCTGACCTCTGTTTTTCACCTTTTCTACACACTACTCATCAGAGCGAGACAACTACACCCGCGGCCACAACCTGCCCGACTTGCACCCGAAAATGATAATGATTTGCAAAGTACTGTATAACCCCCGAGAGACAAAAGTGTCCACCACCCCCCAATGCTATTTTTGCAAAGGTTACGCGGTGGCGTCTGCTATTTAGTGGATGAGGCGATGAAATTTCCACGTACGCCGGCATGAAGGAAAAGGGCAAGCCTTATGTTTGCGCTTGGGTTGTGTGTTGTACCCTTTTTATAGCCTACCACCGTCTCTCGTGGTATGGTGGGAATAGGTCTCAATATCATCTCCTTCCTGAACGCGCACAAGGTCTGGTGTTGGCGGATTTGAACATGGTGCGCTTGTCTCGCGGTGAAATTCGACGAACCCTTGGGTCGTGATACGTACGAGCGATCCCATCTATGTTAGCGGCTGTTTTCATCTGGTTGCAACACAAGTCGGCATGGTAACTTTAACCCCTTGAAACCCTAGCCCAACCGCAAGCTGCTTATCTCTGTCTCATAAATAATGAAAGGGAGATGGCGCCCAAGCGAACTGTATACATGCCAATTATTGTTGAACCCCTCCATCTTGTTGCTGCATGTTGTATCGGTTGAAAAATATGTCAGAGTACACCCTGTGTTGCCGCGGCTGTGTTGCTGGCACTGTTTCTTTTATTGCCAACCATCGATGTCCTCACCGTGGTCGTCGATTTGGTTGTGGCTGTGTTTTCGTGTGCCCGTCTCGTCGGCACTGCTACCCGAACGTATTGTATCGGCTCTCGCGATTTCACCCGCCTGTTGGGTTGCTTCGTTGTCGCGAGTTGAGCTTTTTCTCTTTGCACTTTGTTTCGTTGTGTCGCTGCTGGTCTTTGCTATTGTTTGCAGGAGTGTTGAACCCATCCTGCTACCCCGTTGCATGGGCCACCTGCTGGCGATGGCAAAGGCATACAAAGATCAATCCAAGGACAACGAAAGCAAGAGCAAGAACAACACCGGCGACGACACTCAGGTAGCACCGGAATCGCTGGTGGACGAAGGAGCGTCGAAGGGCGATTGGAAGAGCACGGTGCATGCTATGAACGTGCTGAGGGTTGTTTTCGTGGACGCCACCCTGGCCGACGACGTCTGCCCATACGTCACCGAGGTAGGAAAAAAAAAATGGACGCGTGACCCCCGTTCCAGATGTACTTGTACTTGTATTCGGAGGCATGTCCCAAGCGTACATGGGGACGCTGCCGGTTTTAACGCACGGAACACAGATGCGGTTTCATTTAGGTAGGTATTGCATGTTTTCATCCCACAGTGCTTCTCACGCCGCCGTTTTTGGTCAGGCTAGTTACTTGACCGATGTTCAAAGTACGTAGAGAATTGGGCTTGTTGTCTTCGTCTCTCTGTCAGGTTCGTAGTCCGAACAATATGCTTCGCTTGGCCTTCTGCCCTATCCCGTCGTCCTCGACCATGATGTTAAGGAGCTTTATTTGCGCTTGTATCCGCATCGCGGAGCCTTGGTGGGGCCTCTAATATGGACGTGTTCGGCAGTTCTCTTTGAGAAAATGTTGGAAGAGTAAACGAAGTTGTGCACTTCGGATAGGCGTTTTCAAGTAGAAAGCAGCCCGCCGAACATATTGGCCGTACACGTCAAGCTTTTTTTTTTTGTTTTTGAGCCTGTTTCTTCTGCCAGGCCTGTTTCAATTTTTTCCGGGACATAGTGCTTGTGGTAGTCCTCCCCTCCGACAGTAGCTGAGGCGAACGACCACAGCTCTGAGCAACAGCAACAGCATGACGACCACCAAGAAAACCACCCTCTACAACAAGAACAACAGCAACTCACGACGACCATTAAATCTATCATCGCCGCCGCCACCATCGTCACACAAACCACCAATGACAAACACGACAACACTAACCGAACGCAAGACGCATACCACTCTCGTCCGCCACAACAAGCGAAACCGCTACCTACCCAAATGTACAGGCTACGATGGCGGCCGTCTGCGGTTTTGAGCACCCGGTGTGGGCCGTCCGTAACTCGTCCATGATGCTCTTCGCCTCGATCATGCAACGAGCCGTCGGAGGAGCGAAGAACGCCGCCGAACCTGCCGGAAACCCTTGTGAGTACCGCGGTACTATCTTGTCGACAATTTGACGACAGCGCACAGCGGGAAGCCGTGCACAACACTGTCGTGGCATTACCTCTAACCAGTCAGGGGGACCCTCTCGTTCGGTCCTTGGGAGCGGGAAACCAAACTTGTTCCGTAATCGCAAGCTTCATGGTGCTTGATGCTCCTAGTCGTAGCTGTGCAGCTCTACTATTGCTACCACGTTGTACGATGGCTTCTTCATTTTTTGCTTGAGCAGGGGACTCAAACCCTTCGTACGCCAAGCTGAGTGCTGACAATTTGGCAACTGCTCTCCATTGCCCAACTCTTGGTGCGAGCTGCCTCCCCTCGTATAGGGTGTTGCATGGAGGTTCCGCAAGAAAACCGCATGTTGAAACGGATTCCAGCGTTTGTCGGGGACGTTGCTTGCGGGCGGGGTTCCCCGGGATGTTGTCTCGCTTCCCCGATTTCTCACGTTGCGAATCGCGTTCTTTATCTGTTTGGTCGTTTTTCCGTACATCCCTACCAGTGTCGGACGGGTCGAAGCGCCCGCGTTCCGCCCGAGCTGCTGTTACCGCTGAGGCGTTTTTCCAGCAACATCCCAAGTGAGTCCTACACGCATTCCCCTGAAGCACGTACGGTTGCACATATCTTGCCGTTTTCTGGCGTGGACTGTACGACCTCTATCGTGCGTTGGTTTTTCCTTTTGTTCACCGTCGTGAGAGGTGTCAAACACTTGGGGGTCATTGTTGGATTGTGTCTTTGACAATGGCCTCTTTCGTGTGCATATCCAACTAATTGGTCGGTCAGCGCAGTCCACCTCTTGACCTTTCCGCGGTGCTGTGGACCGTGTGGTACGTTGTGACTGGAAATGCCGTGGTTCCCAGCTCATTGTTGTCACTTTTTTTGTGTGTTGCTCTCATTACACGCGTACCAGGCTCCACCCCTTCCTCTTGTCCGAATTGGAGAGGGCCACCAACTGCACCCCCGAGGCTGGCACTGGGTCTTCGGGCGAGAAAGAAGGGCAAAGGGCAGCAGCAGCAGCGGCGGCGGCACGGGCCGAGATGCATCCGGTGCTCTACCCCATCCTGCTGCTGCTCGCTAGGCTTAAGGCTGGGGGCGAAACAAGCAGCTTGGGGATTGGGCAGGCAGAGGTATGAGCATGTGGGGATAATGGCGTTTGCTTCGTACACGTATCGCGGGGCGAGTAGCAGCTTTTGTAGCCGGATTTGCTATTGTACCGTTGGAAAGAGCAAACCCATCGCGCCACAATCGGGTATTACATGTTTTTGTTTCTTTTATGTTTCCTATTCTTTCGATGAGGTGGTGAGACCACTCCTGTTCTCAATGCAGCTTGTTCCTTATTTGTCGTAAGAATTGTGACAGCTGGAACTCGGTTCCTTGCATTTGACGAGTACCGAAGAAGAGGAAATGCGGTTGAAACCCACAGCGGTGGCAGTCGCAGCACCGATGTGATGTCTACCCGAGTCAACCGTGCTCGCGAGAGGAGTTGTTGTTCTGGTCCACAGCGTGAGGAGCGCATTTTTCCCAGCGACCAAAAACACAATTGCCCCTCCCTTGCTGATTTCGCGAGACAGGATGGCTGCCTGGTTGCAGGAAAAAGGGTTATCTTAGCACCGAAATCAATATCCGACAAAAGGTTGGGCCGGAAACGGCTCGTTGGGCATGGTTTCGGAAGTGCGCGCGAGGAGTATTGTTGTTTCGCACGCCCTTTCTGTGTTTTATCCATCTTGACCTACTCAGTGCGCGGAATGTGCGATACACATCTACAAGGCGCTGCTCAAGCATGTGTTGAGATTCACGTGTTGTGTCTTGCTGGATGGGATATCCACAAGGCACGCGTGTGCGGCACTGCGAGGCGACGGCCTGCTAACACGCGGGAAACGCTTTGTGTACCGTCGTGCGTATCGCAACGCGGGTCTCAGGTAGGCGCCTGTCCCCTGGACGTTGCAACACCGACAGAGTCGTTCGTACCGGCAGTCATCCGATGTGCCGGTAACCCCCACTTTCTTGCAAGACTCGCGAGCTCCCGAGCCCTGGCCGCCCTGGTCCCGCCCGCTCGAGCCCACGGTGTGGTGGTGGACCTCCTCCGAAGGTTACCGAAGAGCCCAGCCGATGCAGAGTCGACCGGCCCCGGCGCACACAACCACGTTCATGGTGAGCCATGAGGGTTGAATCATAGCAAACTTCCTTGTTTCGTTTATTTCGTCATTGTCGCCTTGCGAGGGCGTGCGAGACGGAATTTTTTCGTGCCTTTGTATGGGAGCGTCGTCGTGCTGTACGGGGTGACCACGATGATTATTGACAGTTGTTTTTCAAGGTGACCTGTCCTAAGACGTGGACGGACGTCATGCTTAGGGCGGTACGCGCGTTATTCATGTATACTACAGACACTAGAGGCAATAGGTTAGTCCAACCAATCCAACTGGTTAATATGAAAATTGTAGTACCCTTTCGTGTTTGCTTCCCGCCATTGTTCCGTTTGTTTTTTTCCCGAGATGAGACCGCGCGGTCGCTGGTCTGCGACATAGTTCTCGGCCAACTTGGCGTATTATCTGCGCTTTTGCTCCTTGTAGCTCAAATGCTTCAATGCCGTCCATGTTCCTCGTGCTTTGCAGGGCGAGGCGGTAAATTAATTCACAACACGGAACGTGCAGATAATGAGGGTTAGGAATCACTGTACTTGCTGCCATTCACACAGCGACGCAACCTCTACTCTCCCGGAACGGCCACTTGACTTGTTCCGTGCCAAGCTGACTGCGTCGTTGCTTCTGCTGCTGCTGCTGCTGCTGCTGCTGCTGCTGCTGCTGCTGCTGCTGTGCTTGAATGTGGCACGGCTGGTTTCGACCCTAGCTTCTTCTTATTGACTGCCCAGACCGCAACAACCTTTTCACAACACGAGCTACTACCTAGCAGAGAGTGTCGCTTCTTTGTAAGTGGTCGGGGGTTTTTTCGAGGTCTCAACTCTTGGTGAACCGTTCCTGTGTCGGACCCCGGTGGTGATGTAGGAACTTTGCTCCAGGTGCTGGAGCTGCTGCTCGCCGTAAGAGCTCGATCGAACAGTGGTCAGCCTGCGGAGGGGACAACGAAGGTATTTCTTATTTATCCTTTCTCTGGTGATTTATCGATACTTGACGCCTTCATCTCTGGCAGTGCAAGCGTCATCCCTCAATGAATATGTGTGTCAATTCCATTTCGTTTGACGCGAGAGTTTACACCTTTCGCGTATACTTTCTAGACGTATGTATCAAAGCGGACCACGCAGAAGGAACGCCACAGTGCGGCTCCTAGTAGTGCCATGGCAAGCAAAATGTCTGGGTGGGTACCGTCCTTGCCAACTCGTGGCAAGCATCTTTTGGGGAGCTATCGTGCAGGTCTTCACGGTTTACTGCCGTTGGATAATGCCAGTGGCCGATATGTGTTGGTGTAGTTGGCGGGTACTTCCCTTCCCTCCTCCGTGGTTAGGCCATTTCTTACGGGGGGGTTTTGGAGTTGTCTCTTTTTTTTTTCCTTCTCAAACAAAGACAACTGGCCACAGAACCCCTCCTCACGGTGTCTGTTTTCAGGGAAAGAAGGCCAACAAAAAACGACAACCAGTTTTGGACAGCCCATCCTGTGTTTTTCGGAGGCAGTTTTGGATAAGTCGGGGCTGTCAGAAAATATTTCCTGTTGTTGGCCACAACTGCATGACTCCTACCTACAAACTCGAATGTCTCCACGGTTGATCCGCGCAAACCCTAACGGTGGTCACACGAGTTGTGCCATGTGGCTGGTGCAGAGTCGGGAGCACCGGTGTTAGCCGTTGTTTTTCCATTCGGCTGGACCAAGTGGACGACCCGATGTGTGCAGCAAATAAGCGGCAAACAAGCCGAGAGAGCCTGGCGCAGCAGCTGTGGGTCATGTTTCGTGTACTGTCAACTTTGCGAACCCAACTTCTGGGCGTCCTACAGCCTCCTGGTCTGTATTAGCCACCACACACGACGAACCATATGCACAGCTCGTGACGCATACCTTAGTCATCGCTGCTGGCTGAGTGGGTGGCGGGGAAGTCAAAAGTTGCGACACGGGCAAAGGAGCAAACAAAGCTGCTTGAAGATGCGGCGGGTCATTTTTCCCGCTGTCCGCTACTCTCGGGCTCACAATCTCTGAGCGCCCCATAGCCTCCTGGTCTGTATCAGCCACCACACACGACGGGCCATACACACAGCTTGTGGCGCATACACCTTTGTCATCGCTGTTGCTTTAGTGGGTGGCACGGGAGTACCGGTAAACCACAGTGGCGACACGGGCAAAGAAGCAAAAAAAACTGGTTGCTAGAGTTGGCTGGAGCGGTGGGCATTTTTTCAGCGTGCTGTTTACTCTCGCCACCTCAGTTTCCTTGCCTCCGATCGCCCCGTGGTCTCTATCAGCCGCCACGCAAGACGGACCATACCCACAGCTCGCGAGATCTAGCTTTACAGCTCCTGCTGCTTCACTCTGTGCGGATATATCGCCGACAAACCATAGCGGTGGAAGGGTCATGTAGCGGTATATGACAACGACCGTTGCAGGGTCTATTTTTTTCTGTCGATAACTCGGAAGAGAAAAACAATTGACCAGCACTATGAGCAAGGGGTCATCTTTTTTGTACATCCCTTTTTGGATCGCCTCTTCGGGGGGAAAAAAGATGTGACAAAAAAGACACCGTAAGGAATGGCCGTAGTAGCCAACAAGGAGCAAAATACCAGGATTATGGATCAGAAAAAATTACTTCTCCCGACGGACGGGAAAACCATCCTGTTGCTGCGTTTTTTTTTTTGCTTCATGATTGTGAAAACACAAAGCGAAAGGTGCACAGGGACGAAGAACACTTTACAAGGACAGGGTTAGTCCATCACACAATCAAACTGGAAATGTATGGCGCTTGTCGATTTCTCGAATTCTCGAAGCATTTTCTTCCCCCGTACGGCGTCGATACCGTGGCAAACCATGAACACCTTCCAAAACTTCTCCTTTTTCCCGTAACCCTGACCAAGTTACTGTGTTGTTTACCATGGGTCGAATTGACCGGCCGAATTGTGATCGGTTTCATTTTGTTTGCAGGAGCGCGAGATTCCTGTGGATAGTTCCGGATCGACATGCTCAGAATCGGAGGCACAGCTGCCGGAATTGAGTACGGCCGTGCTGGAACTCTCCTGGCTCGCTGACCCGGTGCAGTCGCGGTGCCCCCCGATTAGAAGCGCCATGCTTCAGGTTCTGGAGGTGAGGGGGATCTTGGCAGGTAGCCGGGGTGGGCGTCCGACCTGGTGCACAGTGAACTTTCAACCGAACCATCACGAGTCATAGCTTATCAGCTCAATCGTGTAGCTTGCCCCGAGGACCCAGGAAGACGCTGTCCCACCCATTATGGTCTCAAGGCCTTCGCAATTGGTCGGTAGGCGAAATCGCTTGCCGGCACGTCAAGACGTTGTATATTTTTTGTGGTATGACAGGAGTTCCTAGCGTGGTGCTTGCGCACCTTAGGCATTGCGACTCGTACTGTGAGGTCCCCCAAGAAAACACGACGAAAAACTAGGTGTGGAATGATTGCTGTGGAATTGGGTTAGGCCAAGAAGGTGCGCAGAGTATTTTTTTGGTGTGTAACTTGAGACCACTGATGGGCCGATTCTTCTTTTCCGGTTGGCATGAATAGTGCTCTTGAGCACAGCAGTTAAGGGTTGTTACTTGTCTGACACGAATCTGCAACCGGCCACATTCGGTTGTTGGAGTCAAGGCTGGTGAATTACCGTCCAACAAGGTTCACTTCTTTTTTTTCTCACTGACCGTCGCGAGATCCGGGACCCCATGACAACAGCTTGAGTTTTCCTCCCAATACGAGAGTGAACAAATATCATGCTCCAACCAGACATACAGCGCAGCGTGAGCATTGTCTGCGTTGAACACCCCTTACTCTTGCCGCTCAAGCGTATTTAGGTGCCTCATGTTCTTTCCACGCATCTGAATGGGCTGGCAAACGTTCTGAGTATTCCATTCCGTGATTTTTCTGATTGCTCATGGCGTAGCGTTTCGCACGGATGTGCCCGATTAAACGCCCAAACTCTGACTGTGCTTATCCCTCAAGACTTCCCTGTGTTGGAAGCACACAACGAACGTTTGCACTATTGTATATTTCCCACGTTTCAGTCGAACCACTTCCCTACGGGTTGCCGCGAGTCAGGTGCTCTCTGGATTGGAGACCGAACGGCGTCGATGTATCACCACGCCTGGAGCAGTCCAGTCTGCCCTCCATCGCGCCGAGGAGATGAACTTCTCTCTTGAGGCCGGTCCGCAGGTCACACCGTCTGGGGATCGCCGCGTGGTGCCCGGTCGTTCTGTCTTGGCTTCCGCGATTGTCGGCGCAGTGATTCGACGCCGCCTGACCCTGGCTTTCAACGGGTGTAGGGCGGCTGCCGAGCTTAGAGCCGGTGGTGATGTTAGCTTGGGCGAGGGAACTGCGATAAATCCAGCAGGAGACACAGGGAAGGTTTCCGGCGAGAGCGCGATGGGCGTGGTGGCGAGCGTAAACCCAGGGGTTGGTGGTGTTAGCGCGCGTGTGACCACTGCGCCGGGCAAGAACAAACGCGACGAGGAACACGAAACGTCTGAGGTGACGCAGGCGCGGTACGTGGCGGAGCTGTTTTTGACGCCCGACGTAGATGTTCGCGACGCAGCGATCAAGGCAACAAAGAAGTTTATTGGTGAGGGTTCGCGTCGAAGGAACCTGGTGATGTCTCCGCAGGGCTCGTACCTGATCTGGGCTGGTGCTGCAAAAGCTCTAATGGAGGAGAGCCACCCTCCGAACGTCAGGCGACTTGTTCGCCTGCTAGCTCGTGTCGGGCTCCATCTGCGAGGGTATTGTGTGCCTCCTGCTGCAGTAGACTCGCTGTGGAAGCATCTTCGAAGGCTTTTCGACGGTGAAGGTGGGCCCGGGGAGGCCCAAGCCGGTGCCTTGGAGGTGATGGGGGTAATCATCCGCCTTGACAGACGACAGCGCCTGGTGAACGAAATTCAAACCGATGAAAAGGGCGGCTCAAGCTTCATTGCCGTTCGCGTCGAGGAGTACGCGAGCTTTTTGGAGCGGGCGGTGGGCCCCGCACAACCGGTTGTAGCGAGGGCCGCCGCGGCCGCGTCGCTGGCGTCTGCGGGGATCCTTTCGACTGCTGCCCCAACGTCTACCACATCTACTGCCGGCGCTTCCGCCGCGTGTCCCGCGTTCACCGCATCTTCTGCTGCTAGCAATGACACGAAAGGAGAAGCAAGATCGATCCCACGAACGGTTGCGGCCGCCGGTGACACCGCATCAGGCCAGCACGGAGAACAGTGCCCAGACCTTTCCTCCGGCACGTTTGGGAGGTCGTGGTTCGTAGCACTGTCGCTCCTGCAGGATGATGACGAGCGGGTGCGCAGTTTCGCCGCACGCGTTTGCGCTGCCGCGGTCAGCAGCAGCACCAATTCCGCCCAAGGAGCGCGAGACGGGGCAGGTAAGCATGCTGCTTCCCGAAGTTCGAAGAAACGGCAGTGCAATGTTGGAGCCAAGACGCATTGCTTTTTTGCGCCCGAGTATGAGCGTTAGAGACCGTCGAATTTGTGTTCCCTCGAAGGACCTCGGGCGCGCTGTGGCCGTTGATTCACTCATCCATTTCGAGCAGCTGCGAGTGTGGTACGATGGCTGCGACATGTCCGTTGGCTGTATTGCGAGTTCAGTTATTGTCTCGACGACGTCTGATGGAATATTCAGCGTCGAGGTAAAGGAAAAAGTACCTCCCACTGCTTTCGCTCCCCGTAAACATCTACCACCGTTCTTGATTATTCTCAAGGACAGTTTCATCTCGTGTTAGTCGTCGAGAACGGTTTTCTCACTTCGGTATCTGCTGGTCGCTTGGTTCCGACACCAAGCTTCCATCCTTTCCCTTGCGAGCATCCTCACTTGATGGACTTCTTTTTTTCTACCGCAGTCTCTTCATCACGGTTGCTGCGAATGTATTCAACCATGATGTTGGTGCTTATCTATGCCCTACAGTCACGTCCTTCCAATCTGTGCGCCGTTCCTACCTCCAACTTGTACCCGTATATTCCATTCTGTTGTACTGACCATGTTGCGCGTTTGCACCTCCGTACCACTGAAACCCCCTCCCCGGAAAAGGTGGCCGTGTGGATCTGTGCGCGGTGGATCTCGCCCTGGCCAATCTGGCGTCTCTTGCCAAGGAAGGCGGGGCGTACACAGCGGAGGACCTGGTGCTGAACCTTCTTCGAGTTTTCGGTGGTATGTTGGCGGAATGCAGCGTTCGTGCCGGAAAATCGCTTGGAAGTATTGGTGACGGTGCTGCTGTTGGTATGAAGGGAGTTGGCGTGATCTCGCCGAGCCACGATGATGATGTGGATGGCCTCGCTGGTGGGGACGGCGACGCCGACATCATTTTCGGGCGGGAGGAGCGAAGCCAGTTTCAAGAGCCGACGCTGTTCGCAGGCGTCGCTGCGCCCTACCTTTGCCGTGCGCTCGAGGCTCTCGATGGTGGTGAGGGCAGCATCCCTGTTTTTCCAGAACCCGTTTCGCAAGGACTCGTGAACGTACTTGGAAAATTCGCCGGAATGCTTGAGGGGTTGAGCGGTGTGACGAGCTTAGCTTGGGAACCGGGTGTGTACCAAGGGGTCATGTGTTCTGCATTGATTGGCGCGTCTATCATGGAGTATTTGTGTTCTCGAGGCTGTCGGATTGAAAGTCGTGGTCGCGATGAAGCCGCCGGCATCGAACTATCTGGCCAGTTGCGACGTGCAAAAGAAGCGTGCGGATATTTCGAGTCAGGTATTGGATGGAGTGAGGGTTCACACCCCGCGGTTTCGGAGGTAGTTGCTCGAACCTTGCTTTTGGTTCATTCGGAAGAAGCGGTGTCCCTCGAGCCTCAGGTGGCGTTGTAGTCCAACTACGGGCCTCAGACTTCAACCTCTTTCTTGTTTTGCCCAGTTAGCAGCATCGGCTATGTTGGATGACCTGTTGGCCATACCTGTCTTTTGGGCGTGTCCGTGAGCATGTGGTTTTACCCCTGGTGTGAGAAGGGGGGTGCAAGAGGTGTGCCAAGCATTGCCCTCCTCTTATGTTAAGATGAAATACGTGTTCGCAGGATCGGACACTCTCTAGAGTGTGGCTTGCTTCATTTCCTTCGTAAAGTTGTTCAGTGGTCCCGATCTACGGTAGTCGTGACCCAGTTGTGCAGAGGAAGCGACGACGATTTGTGGTTTGTTTCGCATGAACCGCCAATGGCCGGGCGAATAAGTAGCGAATTAATTGGACCGAAGTCGGTGAGCAGGGAGAGGGATTTCAATCTACGATGTTTTGCCGGTAACGCCAAGGGGTACGCTCCGCCGACGCCAGACGGCTTTGCACGCGGATCGCTCTACGAGTGGCTTGATGATGGTCTGGTGACTGTGTATTCCTTCAGCCTCGATTTCGGCTAAACCACACACATGACGCGTTCCCTCGCACAGGGCAGAATGAGTGCATCTCCCTGCTGGCACGTGCCTCCTTTCCGCATGTGTACGCATGTGTACAGTATAGGCATCCCTTGTCCCAACCAATGCTGGATCGGAACCCGTTGTGAAGCCCTTTCTACAAAGGGCCGGTTGATCGTCGCAAAAGTCGTACTCGGAGTACACTGCCGATCGCGACGAAAGTTCGCCAGTATAAACAAGTTGAAGCCGGGTGAAACCATGCACCCAGACAGACTTCGACATCAAAGAGAACACATCGCTGTTGTTCGCAGATCAATAGAGACATAGTAGGTCATATCGCGTCACACTACAGGAACCTGAAGATGTCTTCCTCCTTACCATCTGGATGGAACTTACAAGAGAAAGATGTTCACCATCGGGCTTCCGTAGGCCAAACCCCCCCCCCCCCNGATTCGCATGGAACAGCGGCCGCATGAAGGAAGAAACTGAATTCGCCCGTTGCGACGTCGATGCAGCTCACGGTAAGCGATACCTTTTTATGGACTCAACGACGGTGCATTTTCTACATTCGTGGAGACATCGCGAATACACGAATGTTATCCATGTAGCAGTGCTCACCTGACGATGTGTCATGCTAAAACTCCACAGGAACGATAAAATCAAATTTGACAGATCGAAATTCAAGCACGAGCAACGTGTCACACGGAATAATAATACGAACAAACCCAAGCTGAGAACCAAACACCGATACACATCCGAGGTTGACCTACCAAGGCGGTGCCGAGAGAAGACGCTAACATACGAGACAAATGGATTCAAGTATGTTTCAGTACGAATACAGTTAAAGGTTCTTCGTACACAATATATATGATGTCGACCGCTAGTTCTACAGCTACCTTGAAAGAGCGAGGGCCTCGCTCGGACCCGGTACTACGCGTGGCTCACGGCAGTCACCACCGCCCAACACGCTGCACGACGACCTTCAAAGCAGAGATCTCCACGCCGCCCTCGCGAAATTCGAGACAAGAACCTCATCGTTGCTGGTTGCAAAGTCGAAGCCCCACACACACAAGATGACACAAGGGGACGCAGGTGCTGGGGATGTAGCCTGCACGCTTCCTACAGTAGTCTAGGGGACCCTCGACAGAGATATTGCGACGCACGGGCGTGGGGCACTACACTGCTGTAGTCTACACATCGCAGTAGTCTGCAACTTTTTTTCTACACGGTCTGCATGACGACGAGTCTACATATCTCAACGAATCGCGATACTGTAGGCGTGCCACGTTTGGACAACAGGAACATCATAGCTTATGGGCCGTCGCGAACACATAGATCGGGTGCCAGAGCACAAAGCTAAACCAAATGATCAACCCCGAATACGTCTCCCGAAATTCCCCTTGCTCGTCGAACGATTCTCTACTCGAATTCGTCTACGCGACGAGACGCGCCTTGGGAGTTGAAGAATTCTTGGCGGAAAGATGTCCCAGGTGCCACAGAGGCAGGGAAGGCGAGATCATCACAACGGTGCACGCAAGGACCTGTCGAAGGGATGGAGCACAGGTCAACATGCACGAGCCGTTAAAATACGCACTATCGACAGCACTCAACGGTTTTCGCGTCAAACACGACGTTGAAAGCGGGGCACCGTTCACGGGGGAAAGAAACCTGAGCATGGACATCGTCATCAGGCCAGGAGCCCTCACGAACGCATCTTCTCCGGGGTACCGCAACAAAGGAATACTCCTCGATGTCACACACGCAGACCCGCAAGCACAGGTACACTTGCGGAACGGCAGCGCGACCAGCGATGGAACCGCAGCCCAAGCATCCGAGGCGCGAAAGCGTCAGCACTACGCTCGTCCGGGACACGTGTCCTTTGACGAACGCAGCTTTAAACTTACCACCTTAGCCGTGGAAAGCTTTGGCCGCCTTGGAGAGGAAGGTTACGAGTTCATCGATGAACTTGCGACACATGCCGTGGGAGGAAGGGATGGAGGAACGATGGCTCTGAAAGGAGTCTTCAAGGAACGACTTCTTCAGATCGTTTCGGTGGCTACACAGGTGGCCATATCTCGGCGAGTGCAGAGGTACAAGCTCGCATTGCGCGGGCGTCAAGACGCCGAAAACAGGCGAACAAGATCGACCTCGAACCAGTCAACGCCAATGATATGGGGATGGAGTGTAGACGCATCGTAGAACGCGTTTTCGTTTGAAGTTGGCGACTTGTCTGAGGGTAGATGTGACAGATTTGCGTGGAATAGGGTAAGATGTTCTCATGAACGGAGAAGGAAGGGTTTTTCCAACACGGAGATCTAGCATGGATCAAAGCATTTGTTGGATTTCAGCTTTTACAAGCGGACATCAACGCAGTAGTATTTTAGCAAGCTTACGAACGCATATAGGATACCATCAGGATTGTCATTGGTTTTATTTCAAGTTGAAGAGGTGATATTTTTCCGATGTAGGTGACAGTAGAAATAAATCCCACATATGTTGTTGTACTTCGTATTGGTTCAATGTTCATTTAGAGTATGAGACATTAAGTGAAAGTTTTCTGAGGTACATCTGCAATTGTCGGAAGGCAAAAAAAAAAAACTCTAATGCACCAGACCGCAGCGCACAGGGCAACTACGAGGTCGAGAAGGACACAGAGAGTTTTTTTTTTTATGCCTTCCGACAATTGCAGATGTACCTCAGAAAACTTTCACTTAATGTCTCATACTCTACATGAATATTAAACCAATACGAAGTACAACAACATATGTAGGACTTATTTCTACTGTCATTTACATCGTAAAAATATCTCCTCTTCAACTTGAAATAAAACCAATGACAATCCTCATGGTATCCTATATGCGTTCGTAAGCTTGCTAAAATACTACTGCGTTGATGTCCTCTTGTGAAAATCTATTCTCCATCTGTGCATTTTCCTGCGTCGCCTACCCTGTATGACTCTCGTCTGTTGTAGGGCTGTCCACACCAACGCATGGTCTGTAGTGCCTACATCCGTTGTGCATACTCGTACTTCCGTCTCTTTCCCCTCATTCTCTACGACTATGTAGTCAAGGATGGAGCGTTCTCCTTTTTTGAAACACTGCCTAGTGTTAAGGAGTGTTGCTGTATGGTACAGATAGGGTACACAGTCGGTCTAGATTAAGATGGGGGACATCAGGAGGTATACCCTCTTAGGACGTACCCCATCGGGACTTAGCTATCTGCGTGCCCCCAGGTTGAGGGCAATCCGCCTCACCTCAGACCTGTAGCAGACCCGCTTCTGCAATAACAAGCAACCTTCCCATCTCAACGTGCTCGTGGACAAGAGTGTCTACGGCAGAATCTACATCTACTACATCTAGGAGGCAAGCCACCGTCGGGCGGGCATTCCTTTAAACTTGGCGTCAATCTGGCAGGCACGGTAAGAGAGAATTGGACGCGATTCTTCCCTTTTCGTGCGCCGAGGCACGCTTTGCTCACGACCACCACGTTGCTTGTTGTTACGTCTCACCACCCACGAGAATTTAGTCTTCGCCCTTATTGGCGATTACCTGCGGGATTCCGGCTCATGATGCTTTTGCTCGTCGCTCACGAGACTGGGACCTTGCTAGTGATACGCGCATAGGAGGGCGCCGCGGTGATTCTCCCGATTTTT